TGTTGCATAAAAGTGGATTAAATGAACTTGTCGCCAAATGATGTTTTCTTCGCCGGCGTTTGCTTGTCCGAATTCCTTTCCATTGAGTGTTAAATAATTCCACTAAAAATTTACCATAACAAAGCACGCCATTTATGAATGTTAAGAACTATTACTGTAATTTTAAATGCCTAAGGTGGAGGGTATAAATGTTTTTAATATATATTTTTTAAATGATTGGTTTAAAAATTATATTCAAGCGTGGATGTTATTTTTTAAGCCAAACTATGGATATTTAAATATATTTTTAAACAGCCTACAAGAGTCGAGTCGATTACATTTACAAAGAACTTTTTTATAGCGAACACATTTCTTGGGCCCGAAGTTGTAAGACATATTTTTAATACAAATAATTGCTTAATATTAAAACGAACTTTTTTTATTCCCAACAATCTTAATATTTTACGATGACAGTCCTCAAAAAAACCCACTTTTATTCTAAGCTGACAATCTGTTGGAAAATATGCTGATTCGAAATCTTTGAATTTATCGATTTTTTTAGTATGGTTAAGAAAATACGGAAATAAATATGCGACGCTTTCTTTTTCAAATTCTTTTAAATGATTGTCAAATACCAGTAGATTCATCTGATAATAGTTTCGACTTTAAAAATTACTAAAAACATTGCACATAAAATACATAAAAATGATCAATATTAAAAAGCATGTAATTTGCGAATTCGTTGAAATCGGTTGTTGCACATGCGGGTTTCGTATAAACCGAATCAATCTCTTCCAATAATTATGCAATTCGATGCATATCGATGGACCAGAAAATGCTCGAAATATGTCAATGCCGCCTTGATAAATGTTTTCGTAATCATTGAAAACAAACTTTAAACTTGGTTTTTAATAAATAATTCCAATGTTGAAAATGTAGTAGTAGAAAATGTAGCTCTGATTGTAAAAATGTGATTTGAAAATTTGTTAGCACAATAGTCGAACGTTTTTGACGAATATAAAGAAGTTATGTGGTTTTCTTGTTTTCTTTAACAAAAATATACGTTTAGAGTAATTACAATCGTTGATTTTTAATTTTTATTCATTTTTGAAGCCGATAATTATTTTTAAATAAAAATATTCAATGTCGGCTAATGTGGACCACTATAAAAAAGTGGGACATTTTCATGAGGACGAGTTCGAAACATGCGAGGTGGTATTCTATCCTCTGAAAACTCGATATGCGAAATTACAGGTGTGTTATGATTTACATAATCTGTTTTTGGAAATTTCGGTATAGTCCACATTTTGGTATGTTCCCTATATTTTCATTTCTAGTACCTGTCATTATATCTATGGTGGAGGGTATCTAAAGTTCGGCCCGGCCGAACTTAACGTTTTTTCACTTGTTTATATTAAAATAGTTATCTTTTATATTGAAATAGTTTTCTGATTTGTTCCGCGTTTTGGGTTTGGTTCTAAGACTCTGTTCAACAGCGGATGATATCAAGAACGTTGAGCTACAGTCTACCTTTAGCCCCCATATAATGATACCTACCGATTTTCGAGTTTTTAATATTAAGCGTAAAGAAATGTATTTTAATTCAAAAATGTTGGTTTCGAAATAGAGCTACATCTGTTCTCAATTAAGCAATTCGATAATTCCAACCAACCCCCAGCGGTCGAACTTGTTTACATTACCACCATCACAGCTTACACGCAACTTATTATTTATTGCCAGTACTAATTCGTACTCTAGATCTGACCAACTGGAGAATTTAGTATAGGTTGCAGAATGACATGTTTATGGATTCAATTTCATTTTACTGGTACTGCGACGTCTGTTAGGATTCATCTGTTGAATATATTCAAAGCGGTGAAGGGTATCATATAGTCGGCCCCGTCCGACTACTTTCCTTACTGATATATATATATATATGCATTTATTTTGCTTTACGTTGCATATAACGAATTTCCTCTATAAAGAACTAATTTACTTGGTCCCTACATGTTCGCTATAGCCGTACTTGACTGTATTAATTATTTTTTAAAGTACAAGCTTTAACTTAAAAATATTTCTCTAATGAACAACAGGCGTGGATTTTTGTTCCCTTTGCCTTACGGTTAATAAGGAAAATGTGCATCGTAGAAAAAGACATCCGTTTCAGACATTTTGATTAATTGATAAGTAAATTCTAATGAAGATGTTATTATGTTACCGTTGACCGTGACATTATGTTCGTAAACAAAACCAGCAAACCCAGTTCTTGTAAAACCAACAGCCGTACCGGAGCAATAGCAGAAAACGATACAGACTTTAATAATTTAAGTATATGAGATCCGTGTATTATATTATGTTGAAATAAAGCGAAGTATTCTGAAAGCTAAAACTACATCTTTTCACTCTCGGTCACTTTATTATAAACTTTCTGTGACGAACTATACCCCGCGAGCATATCCCAGCATTCTTTAGAAAACCCAAAAAGGTCTGCTACCTAATGTAGAATATTTCGAGAAGTAAACGCATTCAAACGACTACATTCATATTGAGAAACACGATGGGTTGAGCAGCATGCGAATCTATAGAAGAGATAGTAGAATCGTTGGGAGAAATAAGGGATAATTGTAGGATTTAATTTGGATTTCATTCTCAGAAGAAGTATAAGTTTCAGTGTTCAGGTCAAATGTAAGAATTTCGAAATCCGAGTATTTTTATAGAACTACATTATTTTTCATATGTTTGGATGAACTAATTGTACATATGGCAAGCATATTTCTGGAAAATTAAAGAATAGCTAAAACCTTATCGAGAATTATAAAATGTTAATGAAATATTTTAAATAATTCATACAATTTTATGAAAAATATCTGAAAGAGGATCTGAGGATCACTATATAGAAAGGGAAAGATCCCCGACCATCTAATCCATTTGATGTGATTGTAGTATGTGACGAACATTTATTTCCAAATATAAATATACTAGCAGACCCGGCAAACGATGGGTTGGTAAAAATTAACGAATTCATCGAAAATATATTTCAAAAACTATTTACCAAAAATATACGTCAAATTTCCACAATCAAAAAATATGCATAATATTTTCTTCATGACGGTAAAACTTCATTTACTGATAGTCCAGTATATTAAATAGTATTGTTATTGTTAAATATTAAGTTATGCCAGTATGTGTGGTATTTCAGTTTATCAATTGATCGAACTTATTGTGCGAAACATTTTTCAGGAGAATGTCAAGCTTTGATCTAACTACTCTTATCTCAAAAGATAATTACTATTCCTATTTTGATTACATTCGATTCATAAGTTCTATAAAAGGTGTGATGTGTTTAATTACTCAATTCTCAGACTTTTTTTGTTTTTCTCAAAATTTTCTTTGGTAAAACTCTTCCCACTGCAATTAAAAACAATCGAAGGAAAATGTGAGTTGAATTTGTGAAGTCGTTCTCAATGGAAACATTTTTCATATCATGAAAATATATTTGAAGAACCATAAGGCACATATAAGTTAGACACCTAGAGCATCTAATGCGCAATTGTCTCCCTGTAGGATTCAAATGTATGATTTCAAACTTCCCGAATATAATAAAAATTTCTGTAATACCTTCCATAGCTAGCTATATTGTAGAGGTATGTGTAATGGACATTTTGATATATTCTATGTATTGACATTTTTCACAAATAATGTTGGTTTTATTTCCTATTTAGAATAGGTTGAAGTTTCAGCCAATGATTCAGATATCGTGTGGGATATATACTATGTGTTGGTTTTATAATGTAAAAATTGACTCACCATTATTGTGCGTTTTAAGCCTCCTTATATTTGGTCCATATTTTGGCATAGTACGATTTTATGTACTTTGAAAGTAGTAAAAAATATCGTAAACATTGCCTTCAATTCGGTATTTCATGTAGGATAAGGAACTTCTCAGTAAATTGTCGGTATAGTGTCACTTTATGGTATATGTCCCCGTTCCTTCAAAATAAGTTTTGCAAGATTTTCGCGTATTTTTCTCAAAATGTTCTTTCATAAAAGCATTCCCACTTCAATTACAGACAACTGAAAAAATGTTAATTCAAATCGGTGCCGCCGTTCTCAATTGATGAGTTACTATACATTTTTACATAATTTTTATCAATAGATTTAAATTAATTTTACTTCAATTTAATAATTTATTGTTTTTTCGTTTGACTCCCACGCGCATTTCACAAATATAGCTTATGTATGAGTCGGAATACTTAACATCGGCACGCGCCGATTAAGCACCAAATATTTAATCGGGCAAAGCACGAAGAAGCTATATATCGCGCCATCTGTCGTACAAACTTAAAATTAAACACAAAAACTCTACTCACACCCCATAGAGCATATACGTAAAGTTTTGTCAAAATTGGTGCAGTAGTTCTTGAATTATGGTAGAAAACCACAAAAAAATAAATATTGCGCCATCTGTCGGATGAACTTCAAACTACACAGAAACACTCCTCACGCCCCATAGAGCATGTACATACAATTTGGTCCAAATCGGTGCAGTAGTTTTTGAGTTTAGCGATCACGAACATACATGTAATTTTGATATATATAGAGATTGTTCCAAATTTTAAATATTAACCGATCATTATCAAAATAGCCGATTTAGGGAACTTTTTATGTATAATAATACAAGGTATAAAACATAACGACGACCGGCTAAACCAAGTTTCCCCACAGAAGTAAATGTAAACATTTTTGCAAAACTATTTCGATATATATCCATCTTTTGAGGTTTTTTCAAGGTTTAAGTTCGTTTTTTCCCAAATTTTAATCAAAACTTCAAAATTTCGACTGTGTTGTTTTGGCATTAATAAAAGAAATATATTTGGGTTATTCTAATTCAATTCTAATATTTTACACAATATATAATATTTTCTATAAAAAAACTAACAAACAACAAAAGAAAGTGTAGAAAAAACACAGTACTTATAGGCAAATTAATCTAATTCCTGAGACTCATGATGGCTTTTAGCCTATGGGCCACGAAGTGGAGGTTCTGTAAACCCTTCATTTTTAGAGTTGCAGCGTTTCGCATCACGTACATTATCGATTAAAACATCCGCACTCAATTCAATTAACTTTTCCAATGGACATTGGAAATCACAGCCAGGTACTGTCAGAGGTAATTGATAATCTTTGGGATTGTTACGGAAATAAATCTGAAAGTAAAGAAAAACATATTTTATAAACGTTCGCACCCTTTGGAGGTTTTCTTTATCAATATTTTACCTCAACATAATATTTTCCGCTTTCCTTATTTTTGTGCAATTCAAACATGGTCATAGAAGAATAACGCGGCAATTGTCTCTTCCAAATTTGCAATGCTTGCATAATATTAACCACAGTCGAATCATGACCATTATAAATGAACATTTTGCGTCCATCGGGTTTTAGAGCGTTTTGTGACTTATTTTTCATTTCATTAAACATTTTCGTCAGAAAAGGTCCGGCCTTTATTTTTTGCATTTCCCTGGTATAAGCATTGTAAATGTAACTTTTCTCAGCCAAATATTGTAATTTATCGGGAAAATATTGTTTAGTCCATTCGGGTAATTCCAAACCGAATTCTGTCTGTAAGTAAAAAAGGAAAATAAACAAGTGAAAATGTCAATACCCTTCAGAAAACGTATACTGATAGTTATTTTAAATGAAAATATAGGGAACATATCAAAAAGTACACCTATACCAACAAACCATACCATAATGCACACCAAATACAAATTTTATAAATTTTTAATGGAGATTTTTCCTAAAATCGCAAAACCCCAAAACGTCTACGGATATTGACGACGCATGGTAGGGTGGAAGATGTGTATGAAATCCTCAAAATACTGCAATTTAGAGGGCAAAATTATATGAGGCCATCACCAAAGCTTGTGTACTTTGGCAAAAAAATACCTTAAATCGGGAGATACGGTTATATGGGGGCTATATCAAAACTTGGATCCAGGGACCCTATTTTCGATTTCTATATTTGCTTTGTCATTAGAAACATGTGTGCAAAATTTTGGCCGCCTATGTCAAGTGGTTCGGCAGTTAGTGAGTTTATACCCAATTTTTGGGTAAATACTCAAAATAGGGGTACCTTTGTATGGGGGCTACCAGTAAACGTGGACCTACATACATAAAATTTTGCATGGACATTAGTAGAATATATATGTATGGTTTAAAATACAAAGGATTAGCCAAAAGTCATTAAAATGGTCAAAAACTCATTAAAGTATCAAATTACAGTAAACAAATCGTCTGTCCGTCCGTGTATGTGTGAACACGTGCGCTTTTGTTTACAAATAGTGTGTGTGTGTGTGATCCTCCGTTCTGAGTATGGCAATTTATGTATGTGCGTGTGTGTGTGTGATCCTCCGTTCTGAGTATGGCAATTTATGTATGTGCGTGTGTGTGTGATCCTCCGTTCTGAGTATGGCAATTTATGTATGTGCGTGTGTGTGTGTATGATCCTCCGTTCTGAGTATGGCAAAGTATGTGTTTGTGTGTGTGTCTCCGTTCGCAAACTGTATTGATCGACGTGTGTGGCGCGCTCTTGACCTTGAATATGGCAATGTGTGTGCGTGTGTGTGTGTCCGTTCGGTTTAAGAATATTAGGGATGGCAAACTATGTGGGCATGCGCGGAGCTTACCGAAATGTTTACAAGGGGAAGGGGGAACAGATATGTGGAACAAAATATAGGGAATAACAACAACAACAGCATGGTTAGCGATAGAAATGGTCAGGGGCATGAAGAGACATACGCAGTTATGTTTATTTGTTGAGTGTTGGGCATGCGTGGAAAGGGTGGCAAATATGTGACAAGGGGAAAGGGGGACAAATATGGGAAACAAACTATAAACAGCATAATGAATTTCGCAATGTTATGCAACTGTGATTAGGAGTGAAAAGGGAAGAGGCAGGAACAAATATGTGTTTACGAAATGTTTGGATGCAAGAGGAAACAGGGAGAGGAATATGTACGCCCTAGCTTTGAGTTTGATGTTTATTTCTGATCATATCAATACCAATGTGTTTATGTTAAATCGAGCATTGTTGAGTGTTGGGCATGCGTGGAAAGGGTGGCAAATATGTGGCAAGGGGAAGGGGGAACAGATATGTGGAACAAACTATAGGGAATAACAACAACAACAACATGGTCAGCGATAGAAATGGTCAGTGGCATGAAGAGATAGACGCAGTTATGTTTATTTCTGATCATATCAATACCAATGTGTTTATGTTAAATCGAGTGTCGTTGAGTGTTGGGCATGCGTGGAAAGGGCGGCAAATATGTGACAAGGGGAAAGGGGGGACAAATATGGGAAACAAACTATAAACAGCATAATGAATTTCGCAATGTTATGCAACTGTGATTAGGAGTGAAAAGGGAAGAGGCAGGAACAAATATGTGTTTACGAAATGTTTGGATGCAAGAGGAAACAGGGAGAGGAATATGTACGCCCTTGCTTTGAGTTTGATGTTTATTTCTGATCATATTAATACCAATGTGTTTATGTTAAATCGAGTGTCGTTGAGTGTTGGGCATGCGTGGAAAGGTCGGCAAATATGTGGCAAGGGGAAAGGGGGGGACAAATATGGGAAACAAACTATACGGACTATAGGGAAAAACATACAACAACATGGTCAGCGATAGAAATGGTCAGAGGCATGAAGAGACAGACGCAGTTATGTTTATTTCTGATCGTATCAATACCAATGTGTTTATGTTAAATCGAGCATCGTTGAGAGTTGGGCATGTGCTTACCGAAATGTTTACAGTGGAAGGGGGGTGTGGGGCAAATATGGGAAGCAAACTATAGGGACTATAGGGAATAACAACAACATATATTGAAAGCAATATATATGGGTTATAGGGTGCAACAACAACATGCCTGCATCAATTGTAGGATACAAGAGGAAAAGGGGAGGGGGATATGTACGCCCAACACTTGTTGTTAAGAACTATTGGGCACAAATATGATACACAGCATAATGAATTTCCCAATCTTAAGCAACTATGACAATGAGTGAAAAGGGAAGAGGCAGGAACAAATAGGTTTTTTCGGATTGTTTGGATACAAGAGGAAAAGGGGAGAGGAATATGTACGCTCCTCGTTTGACGATACTCATGTTTATATTAATACCAATGTGTTTATGTTAAATCGAGCATCTTTGGATGTTGGGCATGCGTGGAGACAAATATGGCAAACAATCTAACAATCTAATAGGGAACAACAACAACATACATGCATCGATAAAATGGTCAGCGGTATTAAGAGACGGACGCATGGAGTTGTATGATTTTAGAGACTGATGAATGCCAAAACCGAACCACAACATTATGAATTTAGCACTCTTATGGAGCTATGACACGAAGGGCATGGGAAAGAGGCAGGAACAAATTGACAATCGACATTCGTAATGTTTGGTTTCTAGAGGAAAAGAGCATAATGTGTTTAGCTCCACTCCTCTTTTCCTCTATTTTTAATGTGTCAATGAACTTTAGGTAACACCAAGATTAGCAGCAATGCAATTAAACAACCGAAATATTAAAAGGAAAACGAAACGGAAAACGGATTAAGATGAAAAGGAGCACAACGAAAATCTTAGCGTACCAACTGCGGTACACTAAAAAATCGTAGTGTACCGACTGCGGTACACTAAAAAATCGTAGTGTACCGACTGCGGTACATTAAAAATCGTTGTGTTCCACTGGTCGGAACACTAAAAATGTTAGTGTTCCACTGTTCGGAACACTAAAAATCGTAGTGTTCCACTGGTCGGAACAATACAAATCGTAGCGTTTCACTTACTTGAACTGTGCTGGTAGTGTACCATACACGTCTGTTTTGTTTTTTGAGGTAAAATGAGATCAAATAATAAAAAATAAAAATGAATATAACTTTATTGGCAATTACAAAATTTAGGTATTTTGGCCAGTTTTGGTGACAAAATTATACAGCTTTGGATAAAATTGTCATTAATTTACAGAACGAACACGATTTTTCTCATGAAATTAGGAGATCTCCTTGTAAAATGTTGGTATGAAAATTTTTTTCTTAAACAAATTATACCTGCATCTATGATTCATACTTTTAGGAAATTTTATCAAAAATATTCAAAATTTGATGATTGGCACACAATCAACATAATTATTACCTGCTTATTCATGAAAAGAAGTGTACAAGTTACGCGGATATGAAAAAAGTAGTTTTATGATTTTGGGATAAATATTACAAGACCACATACAGGTACCATATAAAAGCCGTATTTCATATTTCCGATGAGCGCAATCGATTATAACCCAAAATGCAATTCAATGGCATTTTCAGTTATGAGTTGGCACTAGACGCCCTTTTTTAGTTACAAAATAGTTATTATGTTAAACTGTTGATGTTAATATAATATTACTATTTTTTAATAAAATATAAACAAATACAAATATAAAAAATATTGTATTTATTAAGTATATTGAAAAGCAATAAAAATATAAATTTTATTCATACTAAAATAAAAGATAAATACATCATTTTGTTTTTCGACAAATGGAACACTATTATTTTAAGTGTTCCGCCAAGTGGATCACTACGATTTTTAGTGTTCCGCCAAATGGAACACTACGATTTTTAGTGTTCCGACCGCGGTACGCTACAATTTTTTAGTGTTGTGACCGCGGTACAATACGATTTTTTAGTGTTCCGAACGCGGTACACTACGATTTTTAGTGCTCCGACCGCGGTACACTACGATTTTTAGTGCTCCGACAGCGGTACACTACGAATTTCGTTGTGCTCCGGAACAGTAACACTAAAATATTTTTAATGTTTGTGTACCGGAACACTAACGCTAAAATTTTTTTAGTGTTTGTGTTCCTGGTACGGTACACTACGATAGTGTACCGTTTTTTTGCGAACACTGTCAATATCAATTAGATTTTAATTTCACCGCTTAAAGCCTCAGGAAATTCCGACGCTGGGCTCTCATCAAGAAAACAGTCTGCGTTTCCAGGAATAATTCCAGCCTATCGAAGTTTCGGATTGTTTCGGCACATTTGACCAAGCCGTTTGTACCATCGTCAGAGCTTCTAAGATGTCTACCTTTTTTCAATACTCCTCTCGAAGCTGTTTTGATACTATATTCGTTCGGTATTGATTCCTCGGTTCAGTGGCTGAATCGAAGAAGTCGTATTGGCCGGAAGAAAAATTATTTGTATATTATCCAAAATTGTACCATCACATATCTCATGGCACGCATCATTGTCCACAAAAAGTACAATTTTCTTTCCGATTTCTTTTAATTCAGTATCGAGATCTTTCATAATATTGGTCCATATAACAGCAGTCATCCATGCTTTAGAGTTGGCAACATATTTTACGGAAGTGAAGTAGATTTTTTAAAACAGCGCGGATTCTGCGATTTTCCTATGCATTAAATCTCTTTGTGGCTGACAGTAGAATTTGCCAAAAAGAGTAGTGTAAGTCTGTCCTTATGAAGTTTTCTTCCAGAAAGAATATCAGATTTATTTGCAAGATTTCCAGATGGTACTGCAGCCATTCATTTGCCGAAGAACTATTGGCGGAATTTTGTTCACCATGTAATTTTTTTAAAAGGAATATTTTCTCTTTGCCTCCACCGTTCAAGCCAAAGTTCAAATTGGTTCAAAGTTGACGTTTGCTTTTTCCAATAGCAAAGGACCTATTAAAATTGCTTTCTTCGACCTCATTTCTCTGAACCATAATAGTAGTTCTCTACTTCTTCACTGGCACCAACTCTCATTGTCCTCTTAGACATATTCTTGTTTTGTTGCACAATCCCAGCTAGCATTTGGAAGATCGTTTTTGAAAAAAATCAAATTTTTAGTGAAGTGAAATAAAATTATTAAAAGGTAAGTTAATGTGATTTGATCACTAATCGACTAAATTAATTAAACTAACGAAATTCATTATAATTTATTTTCAGAAAGATTTTATTGCAAAAAACGTTGGCGTGCTCAATTTCTTGGAGCTGCAGTACGAAATGTGTTCACAGATGGCTTAGCTACGGAAGACAGCTGAAGGGAACCTGATCTTAGGCTAGCGCAAAAAATTCTTTATAGTAACGGCAATCAAAAGTAAGTTCATTTTTCAAACATATAAGATTTTTATTAAGACGGAAAATATATATTTCCTTTCAGATATTTGTCATCGGTAACGATAAAGAAGTGAACAGTACTCATCAACAAAATTTTCTACATGCAGACGGGGTAAATTATTTGTATATGTATTATCAACAATATATTTGATAACTATTATAAAATATATTAATTATACTACATTTTTTTGTTTATTTAGTTATACAAAATTAATTAATTTTTAATTATTAACATAAAATGAATAAATGTAATTATTTTTTCTTAAATGTTTGTAATAAATAAACATTAAAATCATAACTTAATATATTTCTTTTTATTTTACATTTATACGGACACCCGAATATTTACAAATCACGTACGTAATTTGTAAAATCATATATGACTAATAAACGGCTCGAATTTTAAGCATAAATGGATCAAAAAGGACTCCTGAATGAATATATGCATGAGTTATATACGACTACAAAAAGACTCATAAATGACACAATTAAGACTAGCAATAGATTTAAAAATTACTTAAAAAAGACTCGAAATAGTGTCACAAATTGGACATCCTGTTTTGTATAAGTCTTGTAATTGTGGATGGACTACAACTGAACTGATTGAACAAATCGCTTCTGGAAAAATACCAATTTTGTTTTGAATCGTCAGGCTGGTGTCTTTTTTTTTTTTTTTCTTTAAAAAAGTAAAATTAATAAATAATGAAATGAATTGAGTAATGCCATGTTCTGACGGACATTCGAACAACGTAATTCGCTCTCAGAATTACGTACATGAATTAACCCGTTCATACAACACTATTCTTAATTCATGTCAGAAGAATTTTTTATTTCAAACTTTTTGTTTAATGTTTTACACCAAAATTGTAACATATTTGCGTGAATCACATATGGATCTAAATAAAAAAAAAATTCTCTTTCTCCTGACTATAATACCAACCCTATCTCTTTACTTTTAATTCATGTTTCCTATTTTTTCTGAAAATATTGTTGTTTTCAATAAATTTTTATATTTTCTCAACTCAAATGTCACATTTAAAAAATTAGAGAATTTTTGTTCGGGTTTCCCCACTTTTGTACGCTAATTAGAACCAAGGGGTAAGAAATGCATATTGCATTATGTAGACAACAAAATTTACATTCTTCTGCATATATAAAAACTAGAATTTTGGTTACTTTTCATTCATCATTTTCAATTTTACTGAAAAAGTTTGAAAAATTTAAAAATTTTTTCATGCTGTCAAAATTAGTTTATTTTCGATAAATTCTCTCAATTGTTAGAGATGGGACAAATTTCTTGGTGATTCAGAGAGTGATTCGAATTGAACAACGTACAAAAGTCGGTGTTCGCTCAGACAATTTTGTATGGGGAACTAAGTAATTACTTCATAATTAAGGGTCGAACAACGAATAGAGAGCGAACAACGCTCGTCTGTACATGGCATAAGAACTTACCTTCTCCGTAGACATGTTGGCTTTTTATCTGTAACTGTCAATTAAACTTTTGTAGACAATCAATACAATTGATTGGAAAAATGTGTACATTTTTACGTGTTGCATAAAAGTGGATTAAATGAACTTGTCGCCAAATGATGTTTTCTTCGCCGGCGTTTGCTTGTCCGAATTCCTTTCCATTGAGTGTTAAATAATTCCACTAAAAATTTACCATAACAAAGCACGCCATTTATGAATGTTAAGAACTATTACTGTAATTTTAAATGCCTAAGGTGGAGGGTATAAATGTTTTTAATATATATTTTTTAAATGATTGGTTTAAAAATTATATTCAAGCGTGGATGTTATTTTTTAAGCCAAACTATGGATATTTAAATATATTTTTAAACAGCCTACAAGAGTCGAGTCGATTACATTTACAAAGAACTTTTTTATAGCGAACACATTTCTTGGGCCCGAAGTTGTAAGACATATTTTTAATACAAATAATTGCTTAATATTAAAACGAACTTTTTTTATTCCCAACAATCTTAATATTTTACGATGACAGTCCTCAAAAAAACCCACTTTTATTCTAAGCTGACAATCTGTTGGAAAATATGCTGATTCGAAATCTTTGAATTTATCGATTTTTTTAGTATGGTTAAGAAAATACGGAAATAAATATGCGACGCTTTCTTTTTCAAATTCTTTTAAATGATTGTCAAATACCAGTAGATTCATCTGATAATAGTTTCGACTTTAAAAATTACTAAAAACATTGCACATAAAATACATAAAAATGATCAATATTAAAAAGCATGTAATTTGCGAATTCGTTGAAATCGGTTGTTGCACATGCGGGTTTCGTATAAACCGAATCAATCTCTTCCAATAATTATGCAATTCGATGCATATCGATGGACCAGAAAATGCTCGAAATATGTCAATGCCGCCTTGATAAATGTTTTCGTAATCATTGAAAACAAACTTTAAACTTGGTTTTTAATAAATAATTCCAATGTTGAAAATGTAGTAGTAGAAAATGTAGCTCTGATTGTAAAAATGTGATTTGAAAATTTTTTAGCACAATAGTCGAACGTTTTTGACGAATATAAAGAAGTTATGTGGTTTTCTTGTTTTCTTTAACAAAAATATACGTTTAGAGTAATTACAATCGTTGATTTTTAATTTTTATTCATTTTTGAAGCCGATAATTATTTTTAAATAAAAATATTCAATGTCGGCTAATGTGGACCACTATAAAAAAGTGGGACATTTTCATGAGGACGAGTTCGAAACATGCGTGGTGGTATTCTATCCTCTGAAAACTCGATATGCGAAATTACAGGTGTGTTATGATTTACATAATCTGTTTTTGGAAATTTCGGTATAGTCCACATTTTGGTATGTTCCCTATATTTTCATTTCTAGTACCTGTCATTATATCTATGGTGGAGGGTATCTAAAGTTCGGCCCGGCCGAACTTAACGTTTTTTCACTTGTTAATATTAAAATAGTTATCTTTTATATTGAAATAGTTTTCTGATTTGTTCCGCGTTTTGGGTTTGGTTCTAAGACTCTGTTCAACTGCGGAGGATATCAAGAACGTTGAGCTACAGTCTACCTTTAGCCCCCATATAATGATACCTACCGATTTTCGAGTTTTTAATATTAAGCGTAAAGAAATGTATTTTAATTCAAAAATGTTGGTTTCGAAATAGAGCTACATCTGTTCTCAATTAAGCAATTCGATAATTCCAACCAACCCCCAGCGGTCGAACTTGTTTACATTACCACCATCACAGCTTACACGCAACTTATTATTTATTGCCAGTACTAATTCGTACTCTAGATCTGACCAACTGGAGAATTTAGTATAGGTTGCAGAATGACATGTTTATGGATTCAATTTCATTTTACTGGTACTGCGACGTCTGTTAGGATTCATCTGTTGAATATATTCAAAGCGGTGAAGGGTATCATATAGTCGGCCCCGTCCGACTACTTTCCTTACTGATTTATATATATATATATATATATGCATTTATTTTGCTTTACGTTGCATATAACGAATTTCCTCTATAAAGAACTAATTTACTTGGTCCCTACATGTTCGCTATAGCCGTACTTGACTGTATTAATTATTTTTTAAAGTACAAGCTTTAACTTAAAAATATTTCTCTAATGAACAACAGGCGTGGATTTTTGTTCCCTTTGCCTTACGGTTAATAAGGAAAATGTGCATCGTAGAAAAAGACATCCGTTTCAGACATTTTGATTAATTGATAAGTAAATTCTAATGAAGATGTTATTATGTTACCGTTGACCGTGACATTATGTTCGTAAACAAAACCAGCAAACCCAGTTCTTGTAAAACCAACAGCCGTACCGGAGCAGTAGCAGAAAACGATACAGACTTTAATAATTTAAGTATATGAGATCCGTGTATTATATTATGTTGAAATAAAGCGAAGTATTCTGAAAGCTAAAACTACATCTTTTCACTCTCGGTCACTTTATTATAAACTTTCTGTGACGAACTTTACCCCGCGAGCATATCCCAGCATTCTTTAGAAAACCCAAAAAGGTCTGCTACCTAATGTAGAATATTTCGAGAAGTAAACGCATTCAAACGACTACATTCATATTGAGAAACAGGATGGGTTGAGCAGCATGCGAATCTATAGAAGAGATAGTAGAATCGTTGGGAGAAATAAGGGATAATTGTAGGATTTAATTTGGATTTCATTCTCAGAAGAAGTATAAGTTTCAGTGTTCAGGTCAAATGTAAGAATTTCGAAATCCAAGTATTTTTATAGAACTACATTATTTTTCATATGTTTGGATGAACTAATTGTACATATGGCAAGCATATATCTGGAAAATTAAAGAATAGCTAAAACCTTATCGAGAATTATAAAATGTTAATGAAAATATTTTAAATAATTCATACAATTTTATGAAAAATATCTGAAAGAGGATCTGAGGATCACTATATAGAAAGGGAAAGATCCCCGACCATCTAATCCATTTGATGTGATTGTAGTATCCCGGCAAACGATGGGTTGGTAAAAATTAACGAATTCATCGAAAATATATTTCAAAAACTATTTACCAAAAATATACGTCAAATTTCCACAATCAAAAAATATGCATAATATTTTCTTCATGACGGTAAAACTTCATTTACTGATAGTCCAGTATATTAAATAGTATTGTTATTGTTAAATATTAAGTTATGCCAGTATGTGTGGTACTTCAGTTTATCAATTGATCGAACTTATTGTGCGAAACATTTTTCAGGAGAATGTCAAGCTTTGATCTAACTACTCTTATCTCAAAAGATAATTACTATTCCTATTTTGATTACATTCGATTCATAAGTTCTATAAAAGGTGTGATGTGTCAATTGCCTCCCTGTAGGATTCAAATGTATGATTTCAAACTTCCCGAATATAATAAAAATTTCTGTAATACCTTCCATAGCTAGCTATATTGTAGAGGTATGTGTAATGGACATTTTGATATATTCTATGTATTGACATTTTTCACAAATAATGTTGGTTTTATTTCCTATTTAGAATAGGTTGAAGTTTCAGCCAATGATTCAGATATCGTGTGGGATATATACTATGTGTTGGTTTTATAATGTAAAAATTGACTCACCATTATTGTGCGTTTTAAGCCTCCTTATATTTGGTCCATATTTTGGCATAGTACGATTTTATGTACTTTGAAAGTAGTAAAAAATATCGTAAACATTGCCTTCAATTCGGTATTTCATGTAGGATAAGGAACTTCTCAGTAAATTGTCGGTATAGTGTCACTTTATGGTATATGTCCCCGTTCCTTCAAAATAAGTTTTGCAAGATTTTCGCGTATTTTTCTCAAAATGTTCTTTCATAAAAGCATTCCCACTTCAATTACAGACAACTGAAAAAATGTTAATTCAAATCGGTGCCGCCGTTCTCAATTGATGAGTTACTATACATTTTTACATAATTTTTATGATTTAATTTTTAGATTTAAATTAATTTTACTTCAATTTAATAATTTATTGTTTTTTCGTTTGACTCCCACGCGCATTTCACAAATATAGCTTATGTATGAGTCGGAATACTTAACATCGGCACGCGCCGATTAAGCACCAAATATTTAATCGGGCAAAGCACGAAGAAGCTATATATCGCGCCATCTGTCGTACAAAGTTAAAATTAAACACAAAAACACTACTCACACCCCATAGAGCATATACGTAAAGTTTTGTCAAAATTGGTGCAGTAGTTCTTGAATTATGGTAGAAAACCACAAAAAAATAAATATTGCGCCATCTGTCGGATGAACTTCAAACTACACAGAAACACTCCTCACGCCCCATAGAGCATGTACATACAATTTGGTCCAAATCGGTGCAGTAGTTTTTGAGTTTAGCGATCACGAACATACATGTAATTTTGATATATATAGAGATTGTTCCAAATTTTAAATATTAACCGATCATTATCAAAATAGCCGATTTAGGGAACTTTTTATGTATAATAATACAAGGTATAAAACATAACGACGACCGGCTAAACCAAGTTTCCCCACAGAAGTAAATGTAAACATTTTTGCAAAACTATTTCGATATATATCCATCTTTTGAGGTTTTTTCAAGGTTTAAGTTCGTTTTTTCCCAAATTTTAATCAAAACTTCAAAATTTCGACTGTGTTGTTTTGGCATTAATAAAAGAAATATATTTGGGTTATTCTAATTCAATTTTAATATTTTACACAATATATAATATTTTGTATAAAAAAAAACTAACAAACAACAAAAGTGTATAAAAAACACAGTACTTATAGGCAAATTAATCTAATTCCTGAGACTCATGATGGCTTTTAGCCTATGGACCACGTAGTGGAGGTTCTGTAAACCCTTCATTTTTAGAGTTGCAGCGTTTCGCATCACGTACATTATCGATTAAAACATCCGCACTCAATTCAATTAACTTTTCCAATGGACATTGGAAATCACAGCCAGGTACTGTCAGAGGTAATGGATAATCTTTGGGATTGTTACGGAAATAAATCTGAAAGTAAAATAAAAATATATCATTTTAGATATATGAGCTATGTGGAGTATTTATTTTTTTTTTTTTATTTTACCTCAACATAATATTTTCCGCTTTCCTTATTTTTGTGCAATTCAAACATGGTCATAGAAGAATAACGCGGCAATTGTCTCTTCCAAATTTGCAATGCTTGCATAATATTAACCACAGTCGAATCATGTCCATTATAAATGTACATTTTGCGTCCATCGGGTTTTAGAGCGTTGTGTGACTTATCTTTCATTTCATTAAACATTTTCGTCAGAAAAGGTCCGGCCTTTATTTTTTGCATTTCCCTGGTATAAGCATTGTAAATGTAACTTTTCTCAGCCAAATATTGTAATTTATCGGGAAAATATTGTTTAGTCCATTCGGGTAATTCCAAACCGAATTCTGTCTGTAAGTAAAAAAGGAAAATAAACAAGTGAAAATGTCAATACCCTTCAGCAAACGTATACTGATAGTTATTTTAAATGAAAATATAGGGAACATATCAAAAAGTACACCTATACCAACAAACCATACCATAATGCACACCAAATACAAATTTAATAAATTTTTAATGGAGATTTTTCCTAAAATCGCAAAACCCCAAAACGTCTACGGATATTGACGACGCATGGTAGGGTGGAACATGTGTATGAAATCCTCAAAATACTGCAATTTAGAGGGCAAAATTATATGAGGCCATCACCAAAGCTTGTGTACTTTGGCAAAAAATACCTTAAATCGGGAGATACGGTTATATGGGGGCTATATCAAAACTTGGATCCAGGGACCCTATTTTCGATTTCTATATTTGCTTTGTCATTAGAAACATGTGTGCAAAATTTTGGCCGCCTATGTCAAGTGGTTCGGCAGTTAGTGAGTTTATACCCAATTTTTGGGTAAATACTCAAAATAGGGGTACCTTTGTATGGGGGCTACCAGTAAACGTGGACCTACATACATAAAATTTTGCATGGACATTTGGAACTCAAAAAGAACACTCTGTGCCAACTTACAGCCAATTTGGTTGTAAAATGTGTCTAATAGGCAAAAAATACCTTAAATCGGGAGATACGGTTATATGGGGGCTATATCAAAACTTGGACCCAGGGACCCTATTTTCGATTTCTATATTTGCTTTGTCATTAGAAACATGTGTGCAAAATTTTGGCCGCCTATGTCAAGTGGTTCGGCAGTTAATGAGTTTATATCCAATTTTTGGGTAAATACTCAAAATAGGGGTACCTTTGTATGGGGGCTACCAATAAACGTGGACCTATACATACATAACATTTTGCATGGACATTTGGTACCCAAAAAGAACATTCTGTGCAAAATTACAGCCAAGTTGGCCTCAAAATGTGTCTAATAGGCTAAAAATACCTTAAATAGGGGGATACGGTTATATGGGGGTTATATCAAAACTTGGACCCAGGGACCCCATGTTGGATTTCTATATTTGCTTTGTCATTAGAAACATGTGTGCAAAATTTTGGCCGCTTATGTCAAGTGGTTCGGCAGTTAGTGAGTTTATACCCAATTTTTGGGTAAATACTCAAAATAGGGGTACCTTTGTATGGGGGCTACCAGTAAACGTGGACCTACATACATAAAATTTTGCATGGACATTTGGTACTCAAAAAGAACACTCTGTGCCAAATTACAGCCAATTTGGTTGTAAAATGTGTCTAATAGGCAAAAAATACCTTAAATCGGGAGATACGGTTATATGGGGGCTATATCAAAACTTGGACCCAGGGACCCCATGTTGGATTTCTATATTTGCTTTGTCATTAGAAACATGTGTGCAAAATTTTGGCCGCCTATGTCAAGTGGTTCGGCAGTTAATGAGTTTATACCCAATTTTTGGGTAAAAACTAGGGTATTTACCCAAGTATTTACCCACGTCTTTAAAGTATCGTAAAACTATCTATTCTAAATCGATTTGATAACAGAAACGCGGAAATAGGGTGTAAGATGTTGTATTACCGAGTCAATATAGTAAATACCCAAATAAATACCCGCAAATAGGTATTTACCCACCCCTTGGGTATTTACCCGGTAAATACCCGGTAAATACCATCTCTATACACAAGATTTTATTTCGGGAGTTGGGTGGAAGTTGCTGGTTCAATATGAAAAATTTTGTATGCGTACGTCTTTGGAGGTTAAGCGGCGCCAAGATTGATTAAATTGTATAAGAATTACTATGCCTAACTGAGGACCAATATAGCTCAATTTTGAACAAAAAAATCCTTCCTTCGCGTTAAATATAAAAAATACCGAAAATCGGAAAGTTTCATTATATGGGGGCTAGGCTTAAATGCGTGCCGATATAGTTCATTCTCGAACCGGGCTTTTAGTTGTTTATCTTTATATCCTCCGATGGTAGAATGATTACAACAGCTTTGGTACACCATTTACATAAAATCGAACGAACAGATATTCACGAAATTTAGCACACATCATTCTAGGCCCAATTCAGTGCGCTATGCAAAATTTTTGTGCTTTAGATACATAAAACACCAAATTAGAGCGAATTCGATTAAAAACCGAGCTCAAGAATTAGAAAATTTTGGGGAACCCTTATATGGGGCAACCACAAAAATGGTTGCTAAACTCAAAGTACAATTCGAAAATTTTGGCGATCTATATCATTTTTTTAGAGGCTAGAGTGATTACAACAGACGGACGGACATGCATAAATTTTACGCCCATCAAGAATATATATAGTTTTAGGGTCGGGAAATAAAACCAATATACACTCCTATGGCGAAGGGTATAAAAATACAATACAAATAAATATATGAAGATTAGGCCATATCTCCGAACATAGACCTATTGCGAATTTTTCTTTCTGGGGATTTCATATACTTGCCAAGGGGCTTCATTCCCAATATGAATATACGAATGTAGCTCCACACAATGGTTATGGCACCACCCTTAATAGACTAATATGGGTGGTCCGTCGTCGAAAACACTCATCCCATCAGGAAAATGCGACAATAGAAACTGAATTATTTCCAAGCTTGAAACTTTCAAATGCTAATTGCTAGTTTCGAAACGATTTTAACTAGACACTATATTTTATAACTTCCACTATAAGGTGCAATCCTTCCAAATATTTTTAGAGGCTCCCTGGCCCTATTTTCGGTAGTTGGGACACAATTTACAATGGCTGTAATTTTCAATTCTGTTTCTTGAACGACAGAAGACTTGCCCACAGAAAATTGTCAATATAGATCCATGTTTTGACATAGCCCATATCCCGCTCCCATTTTATGTATATCGAAGGGCTCTGATGCATTTAGTATTACGCTTTCTCAAAAAATAAAAAACATCATCTTCTTATATATGTTCCCTATATTTTGCTTAATGAAGATACTTATGACATTTTTAATAAATTTCACCTTTTTCTACTTACCTCAGCTAACAGGGTCAAATACAGGGAATTGATATCCTCAGGTTCGGTTATATTTAATCCCGTGAGCTTAGTCAATTCACTGAATAAATATTCATGAGGTTTAATTTCTTCTTGAACTGTGGCAGAACTTAAAACTTCTTGGAAGGCTTCATGATAACGAGGACATGGTGTGCGGACCAATAATAGCTGGAAAATAAATAATTCAAATAAAAATAAAAGATGTGGTGAAGGGTATAAACACACCGCCAATAATAATCTCTACTTACCGTATCCTCATTTAATTCCTGTGAATACACTGGAACTGGTTGCCAATTAAATTTCGAATTCCATTCCATGGGTGTATTTTTCGGTTGAAAGAGACTAGCCAATACCGTTTGTAAACTCATATGAGTACGTGGAACACCAGTTGCCTGGGCATGAATCAGCTAGTGGAGGATTACATTTTATTTTTATAAATTAATCTATTTTGTTTTTTCAACATATTTGTAGAGAAAAACTTACATCCGGAAAATAATGGCTACCCAAAAAGTTACCATAACGTTTACGCAACCAGCTACCAATGTTAAACAATTCACGTTTGCCACTCTATTATGTATGGACCCCGGGATTGACGAGACGACATTCATTTTGGGTTCAATTTTGAAGTAGACAAGTAAAGTAGATTGTTTACGAGACATCATCATCATCGCCGGCACCGTAGGATTGTAGTCACACAACGAGTGCAATATACAGTGATTTATTGCAAAACACACACCGGGACATAGAATAGGGACAACCAAATCATCATCATTGTTATTGTTGTTGTTGTTGCCAAAGCCATCAGGAGGAATGTCATATAGGGGAAAAAATAAAATAAAGAATTTCATGAAAATACAAACGAATGCAACATTGTTAACAGTAATAGTTCTCTTTTTGAAGTAGTTCCAACACCCCTTTTGTAAATGGGATTTTCCAATTCATCATGAAAATCCACAACAGTACTACAATATACAGTAATATACCACCTAGACATTTATTTCACTTGTTCGGTTAACTGATGTCTGGATGTTCATTCTGCATTGGAGTACCATCGCATTTACATAGCAATTTATATTTAATACTTCATATGTGATCGCATAACTCATGGGTAGTTGGGAAAATTTTAACAGTAGTGAAGGATTGTGGAAATACCCTTCAGATATATAATAGCATATGTAAAATCACATTACAGTAATATTTTTTCAGTGCAAAGAAAAAACTCTTTGCAAAAATATTGGTTCACAATTACCATTACATTTTAGATATAATCAAAATAACGTACTGTTTGATTTTAGTTCTTTTCGCGTAACCTTTCCAAATAGTTTAAGGTAAATACGATTCGCCTTTACTATATTACACTTCTTTCTACATTCACTGTTACTTACATTTGTTATGTGTCCCCATCCATAGGGATAGAATGTTTGATTTACATGCGGATCATTGGGATAGGTGTCGGCAGGTGTGCGTGGTCCATGACGAAAAACCTGTAATTGAACGAGAAAAAAGATGGAAATATTTTTAACAATAAAATAAAACAAGTGAAAAAGCGTTAAGTTCGGCCGGGCCGAACTTTGGATAACCTCCACCATAGATATACTGACAGGTACTAAAAATGAAAATATAGGGAACATACCAAAAAGTGGACCTATACCAACATTTCTAAAAACGGATTATGTAAACCTTAATACAAATTTCAGAAATTTATCATCATTATGGCTAATGAGGGTGTATACACTTTAACATGGTGAAAATGTGCCTCAATGTGGTTCTAGACCCCATGTTTCTTTGGACCAAATCAGTTTCAGAAAATTTAGATTTCATCCAAACTTTTCCCATCTTATTATTTTTCCAAACTTAGTTCGAATTCGAAGATGGGGAAAATCGGTGCACTCCTTCTGGAACCTCCACACAGGGACTAGGTGTAAATGCGGCTATAGTTCATTATCGAACCATACATTCTAAATTTGTATCTCGCTATCCTCCGCATGTGAAATGATTACTACAGAGTCTTAGAACCTAACTAAAAACGCGGAACAAATCAGATACCTATTTTAATATAAAAGAAGAGGTTTATATGGGGACTACCCCAAAAAGGGGGCGAATATTAAAAATTGTTGGTAGGGAGATTTGTTACCATATACGACTACAAAATACCAAATTGCAGCAAATTCGATTGAAAAACGTACTCAAGAACCCCAAAATACCGAAAATTGGGGGTACCCCTATATAGGGGCTATCCGAAAAAATGGACCTATACTCATAATTTTTTGTGGAGAGATTTTCTACGCAATAAAAACTCACAGTACCAAATTTCAGCGAATTCGGTTGAAAAACGCGCTCAAGAACCCCAAAATACCGAAAATTGGAGGTACCCTTATATGAGAGCTACCCGAAAAAATGGACCTAAATTATAATTTTTTATGGAGAGATTTGCTACCCAATAAGACCTCAAAGTACTAAATTGCAGCCAATTCAGTGAACAAATCCGGTCAAAACCCCCCAAAAACTGAAAATTGGGAGGTACCGTTATATGGGGGCTACCAGAAAATGTGGACCTATATTTATAATTTTTAGTGGATAAATTTGGCATCCAAAAAGAACCCATTTTACCAAATTTCAGCGAATTCGGTTGAAAAACGCGCTCAAGAACCCCAAAATACTGAAAATTTGGGAGTACCCTTATATGGGAGCTATGCCTAAACGTGGACCGATATAGCCCATCTTCGAACTTGACCTGCCTGCAGACAAAAGACGACTCTATGCAAAATTTTAGCGCTCTATCTCAATTCGTTTAGACACTAGAGTGATTACAACAGACAGACGGACATGCTTAGATCGTCATAGAATTTTACGCTGATCAAGAATATATATACTTTATAGGGTCGGAAATGATTATTTCGATGCGTTACAAACGGAAAAACAAAACAAATATACCCTCCATACTATGGTGGAGGGTATAAAAAAATCAAGTAGATATAATCCAGCACAGTTCTCACATATAAAACACAATGATGGAATGTTGAGATGTTAATGGAAAGTTAAATGCTCAGACTAAACTAATTCGCTGAACATTCAATGAGAATCAACGTAGGCAGCGAAATACCAAAATTGGAAAATGGTATAGTCAAGCAATCAGACTCTAAAATATGTGAAATGGATCTATGTCACGAAATGATGTTGCCTAATGTTTGTGAGATTATATGAAATACCACACAAAACAACCCTCTATGTGCACTGCGGGAATTCATAATAAATAATCCGCTTTCAGTCCCACCAAATGTGTAGCAGAACCTTCCTGACCGTTAATCCTGGTTTTTGCCACTGTTTGAGGTGCTTCACCGCTCTTTGACCACAATCGTTTTGGCACAGGGTTATCGTATGTGATCCATTTCTCATCTCTATTCGCAATCCGTTTAACTAATTCCGTTTGGCCAAGGCTTCGTAGATGGAAATTCGATCCATCCCACTTTTTTCTGTTAATTGATGCGGCACCCAAACATAGAGCTTATTTTTTAATCTTTGTGTAAATTGTTTAAACCACTTTTATGGACGATTTTTAGCTCCTGGGCAATGATACCACTGCTAATATGCCGGTCAACTTTGATCATTTCTCCGATTTTATCGACATTTTCGACGACCAGCTTAATGGATTTCTTTTTCCCAACCTAATATTTTATTCATTAATTAACACGCACTTATACCATTTTTATATTGAAAACCAGTAAAGAAAGATCAAAAGTCGGATGGGGCCGACTATATGATACTACTTTGGGTACATACAAGAGATGATCATCCTTTAGATAGAATAGTCATATAATGTTTGGAGGGCCATTGAAATGGAAATTAACTGCGTGAAGTTGTAGATATTTGAACTAAATTCAAACAATCCATACATATACAATCTGAAATCTCTAAAAAAATAATGTCAAGCATCGAGCAAAATATGTATAAGATATATATATATATAAATGGACGTCTTTGAGCAACCGTGGCATCCACCATTTGGTATGCTGCAACACTATGTGCTATACAAATTTTATCTCGACACAAAATCCAACAAACGTTATTCTAGGTTCTATTTGGTGTGTTGTGCATTAGTTCGTCCTAAGCAGACAAACTTTAGTTATTTGGTACATCACTTTAATGAAATCGGCCCGGTAGTACAAAATGAAAAAATTCGATGTTACAAACATAAATTTACTGTGAAAAAAATTCATTTCGGGGGGGCCCGGGCCGCCCCCTGCGTTCGTCCCTGATGGGAGCTATATCTAAATATGAACCGATTTCAACAAAACTTGACATATATAAATCTAGACCTAATTCAATACTCTTTGCAAAATTTTGTCTCAGCCGGACCAATATAGGGAGTTTGGTGCACCATTTACCTAAAATAGGACGAAACTATATATGCGAGCTATATCTAAATCTGAACCGATTTCTACCAAACTTGGCATAATTTTGTGCACCATTTACCTTAAATCGGACGAAACTATATATGCGAGCTATATCTAAATCTGAACCGATTTTCTCCAATTTCAATAGTCTTCGTCCTTGGGCCAAATAAGTGACATGTACCCAAATTTATCCAAATCGGATCATAAATGCGACCTGTACTTTGTTCACAAAAAATACATGGACGGACGGACAGACGGACATGCATAAATCGACTCAGAAAGTGATTCTATGCATATTCTCAAGAGTAACCATGGGTCTATCTCATTTCCTTTTGCCTGTTACAAACATATGCACAAGTCGTAATACCCTGTACCACAGTGTGGTGAAGGGTATAAAAACAAACTGGATACTTTTTAACTGTGCGTATTCGTTGGTCTGACCAATTCCCCGCGTAAAATTTTTGTAATGTTCGGTTTATAATTGTGGCCAAAAAACAGACAAAATAAAATTTTTGGTTTATTTAATTGTTCCATGACTGTGGCTTGTACTTTGTTTTCAACTTATTATGAACAGTCTGACGGACATACATGTCTAGATCGGCTCAGATTGGCATAAGGACATCGTAGACATTATATCTACCACGTTGAGAATATATGCTTCTCGACAATAACTCTTTGGTTTAACGAGACTCACCAAGATGATTAACGAATTTCGGATATTTTTTTTTTAGTTTTTATAAGCCTTATGACCCAAGTATCTATAGAAATTATGTCATTCCAAAGAACGTATAGGAATAGAAAATTCAGTTATTTCTTCAATAATGTAGCCTATAAATACATTATTTTTAATTGTTTTTGAGCGACGTGGTTTTATTTTTCATATCACTAACTCGAAGCGTATATACATATTTAATCGTGTTATTTCTATTGAACAAATGTCAAACAATAAAAGCTCCAAAAGGTGTTTGTTTGAAAGTCCTGAATTTCGATATACCACAAAGTGAATGCAAATCTAAGATTCCTCATTAGAGAGGGCATAAAAATTCAGGGTCATTGGGTTAATTATGTATATAAAAAATAGCTGTATGGTCACGAAACAAAAAAAATCACTCGAATGGTTTGGGTTTCAGCACGCAATTTCAGAATTCAACCTATTTATTTGTTTCATCCTCAAAATTAAATAAATGCAAATTTAAGTTATTAGCACACCTGTTTCGTATTATTGCAGCTGATTAAAAATGTTGTCTCGGCGGCACACATACATGCATAATTAAAAATTCTGATAATAAAAATCGTCTTACCATATAGAAGCAAGTCTAGACATAGACAAAGCTGTTCACAAATTTTAGAATCTCAAGTGGAAATAATGGTGTATAACGAAACATCCACAATGAGGACTAACTTAAATTCTTTTCAATTAATTCATTTTTTTAGAAAACGTGCACAAATATATATTTTAAGAAAAATATTCTTCTTGTATGAGGTTGGCTTAGGATTGCAATATATTCTACCAGTCTTTCCATAGCACCCTAATATATATTTTTCTAAATATATATGTATGTATGTAAATAAGTAGGCATTAAATAAATTAAATACTTTATTATTTCTGATGAACGCAAGCATACACACGATGGCACGAGACTTTATTATAATTTCACGCCTCCCATTGTAATGTGATACAATTTATCATCCACATACTGCTGAGGTGACAAAAATAATTATGAGATGGTGGCCTACCGCAAAAACATCAGGGTTTTGAAATTAAACCCCCATCCAACAACAACAAGAGCAACAGAAAAATTTGCTGTTACAAATGTTTTCGAAATATTTACTCATATGAATATTAATATTTTTCACGGTATAACAACAACAATGGCAGCAGGAAAAAGTATTTTATATACAAACACACACATAACACCCATATGTGCAATCAGATATGGTAAAAATTAAAATAATTTATTTTGCATTTGATAACGTTCGGCATAATTAAACTTTAGCCTGCCTATACTTTGGGTCTCATAAAAATTAAAATAATTTGCATATTTACTAAATTAGAAGCGCTGCAAACGACAAGTTCCAATTCCCTGTCATTTTCGATTAGAAATCTA